GCAAATTAGCTAAACTACAAAATAGAGGCCTATTTTTTGTGATATTGTTTTTATATTAAATATTATTAGCTTTTAAATTTTGTGAAGCCTTTAGGTGTTCTGCACTGTATCTAATATGATTTAGACTACAATTCAATATAATTTGATAGCTTAATCACAGATCAATTATAGACAAATTAACAGTTTAAGGGATAGTATATATATGTTTATTATATATATATTATGCAATCTTTTAAATAGTTGGATCTTATTTGATTTTAAAAAGTGATGCAAAAACTTTGTATAAATCATAGTGCTATCAAGATTATGGCCTTTAATAATCATTTAAAGCCAAAATACATATCAATAAACTAAAAGTCACACCTCTTTATATTAGTAGAGATGTTAATCAACTCAAACTGCTTGTATATTTTTAATGATTATTTAACTGAGTCAAGTCGGATATATTAGTTATAAAACTAACTTTATTTTGCTATATATATGATAAAGAGAACAAATTTTACCAAACTTAGACAACTAGGACAATTTGTTCTGCATTGTATTATCAGCTTGCATTGTCCTACAACCTTTGTAGCATCATAAAATATGTCAACTTTAAAGTTTGACATGTTTCCCATATATCAAAAGAAAAAAGAAAAAAAAATTTAAACGATATTCAATTTTATAAATTATTACATTTATTTTATAGCCTTTATTTTGTGCTATTTTTCTACGTATCAATTACGTTCAATAATACAAACCTATCTTGCAACCTCAAAGTTTGATAAAGCATTCTGTTATAAAGAACCAAGTTCAATCTATTATCATTTCTGTAATGCTTTCGCATATAAACAAATGGTTCATACTAAAAATCCTAACTACAATCACGAAGCTTTATTTCATGAAGTGAACAATAAGTAGAAAAAATACAAAAAAACAAAGACATTTAAAAAATTATTGATGATTTTTATAATACGCCAATCCCACTACAAGGATTTACCATTTTATATACAAGACACTTGGCTAATTCACAAGCAGATACACTTATTCAAACAGTCTAATTGCTAACCCAAGAGCAACCTGAAATGCCTTGTACAAATGCTCTTGCTCAAAAAGAAACTTAAAACCAAATAAAAGAAACAGAAAAAAAATTTTTAGAATTTACTTCTCTTTATAGTGCTACTAGCGATTTTCAACTTCGTCGGGATCTTTATGGATATATCAAAAGTTTAAAAAATAACCTTGAAGAAAAAAAAAAATAAATTAAATGAACTCAAATGGAATACAAGTTATTAGCAGAAATACAAATTAAAAAAAAAAAAAATTTAATGGAAAACAATAAAGTCATAGTATATGATCGTACTGGCTATCCCCCGGTACTTTTTGAATATCCTAATCTCTTTGAACATATTCATAGTTCAATCGAATTTGGTGAGGCCGATACTAAAAGGAGAAAGAAAGTTATCAAAGTTTGATCAGTAGCACACTTACAAGAAGAGCTAGAAAATAATTATAATAAATACTTATCTATGACCACACTTCATAATCATTTGTTACCAAATAATAGAAATTCAATTGCAGCCAGAGCACATCACCATTCTGTAATAGTAGGAATTGCTAATATTTCCAGAAGTGAAAAAAAAGAGCATATTAATTCCCATTATTGTTTAGCCTCAATAAAGGCATCAAAATCATTTGCAAGCACATTCTCTGATGTAACTGTAATGATATCACAAGATGATAAAGCTAAAGTTAATGTATACCCGCTGTAAGGCGCACATTTCAAACAGTACAATCACTTGTTGAGCCCATAGAAGTAGAAGATCATAATTTCCCAATAGGGGCATCTTAGAAATTAGTTTCAAGTGTATATTTGATAATCAATCTGGCCGATTCAAATAATACAATGAGAGCAGAGCAACTTGCAATATATATATGACCCCAGTGGCATCTTGGTACAAATTCTTCAATACATATACAGAATTTGATCAATTTTGCATCAATAAGAAAGTATCATGAAGTCTTTAAAATTAATGACAATACCAAACCAATTTGGATAATACTAGTGGACGGAGGTCCTAACAAAAATCCAAAATTTTTTAAAAATATATATCAATATTGCCGCCTATTCAAAAAACTTGATCTTGACTACCTTACTGTATATACCAATGCTTTAGGTTAATCTGCGTTTAATCCTGTCAAAAGTGCTATAGCCAGCTTGTTCACAAAACTAGGAGAAGTTTCTTTTCACATAGATACATTTGGCAACCACCTTGACACCCAAGGTAAAGTTATAGATAAGGAACTTGGGCTAAGAAACTTCCAGCATACCGGTAAAGCTTTGTGTACCATTTGGCAGTATGATAAAATTTTTGGTAGACCTGTCTACTGTGAATATATCGATAAACAGCCAATGCCTTTTTTGGATGTTGTTTTTGAGAAAAATGCACATGATAGTGAGGAAATTAATAATAAAAACAAAAACCAAGATAATAATAAAACAGACGAACTAGTTCTATAGGCTTGGATTAAAGAGCATATACAAATGTGTAAATATTCATTAGATGTAAAAAAATGTTCAAATCTAGTATGCTGTTCACAAAAAAAAGCCCTCAAAGTTACCTCTTTTCTTGAGCCAACAAATGGCTTTCTTTCACCAGTAATTCTAGGCAAAAACAACTATTTTTTAAACCCAATACATATAGTGCAGTATCTAGATTCAACAAAATCAATGAAATATGACAAGCATTGCCTATTGATCAGTACTAAACAATATGAATGACTCACATGCCAAATATGCAAAAAATACTTTCCCACTTAGGGGCATCCATAAATAACATTATGTTTAAAGGGGAGGGAGTTCCCCAAAATATAACGATTTTCCAATATTTAGAGGGTGTCCCCAAAATATAATGCAATTTTTTATAAGAATTTGTCTAAAATTTGATCCAGTAGTCCAAATTGGATGATTTTAGTACCATTCGAATCCTCTCGAGGAGAGGAGTCTAATGGTACCAATTTTATTTGATTTGGATCATTGGATCATATTTTATTAACGAAATACTATTAGTTATTATGTTTTCTTATAAAATTACTATAAAATCAATAGTATTTCGTTAATAAA